TAATCAAAACATGGAGGAATTTGACCCAACCAATCCCAAGATACTCCTCCTGGTGCTCTGGATGGTCTCGCGGACTATCAACCAGCTCAAAGTCCGGATATGAACGTTCTGGACCTCGGATTTTTCAATGCCATTCAGTGTCTGCAACATCAAACCCTCACGACATCAATTGAAGAGTTGGTGTTGGCGGTACATTCTGCTTTCTCTGATCTGGATATGCGCGTCTTGGACAAAACGTTCATGACGTTGCAGAAGGTGATGGAGTATATATGTAAAATAGACGGCGATAATGTTTACAAGTTGCAGCACAAGAAGAAGGACACGTTATTTGTGAACGGCTCACTCCCTCCCCGCCTGGAATGCGACAGGGATGCTGCTGCATCCATTGAAGCCATGGAGGAGCGCATTGACGACGAGCGACGCGTCGACAACATGATTGAACTCTTTGATCTGATTGCACTATTCAAGGCCATGTCCACGTGAGCAATGTTAACGCAATTTGTGAAATGGAACAAGAACTTGCGATTGAAGAAGTCGACGAAGAAAATTTGCAGCATGTCCTGTAGACGATGGTCGTAAAAGTGCAAATATGAATAAAAATTCATATTTCAGGAGTATTATTATAAATTAAGCATACAAATACTCATATATATATATTATTCCCCTTCGGTTCTCAACTTCTTTATGGAACAGAGGAAGTATTATAATAGTGTTTATTAAAGAGGAGAATTTATGCAGTTCGTGGAACTTAAAATCACGTCGAAATTCGTATTAGTGTTGATGGAAAATGAATTAAAAGAGTGGAAATATCGATAACGTGTCCGACCATTGATGGGCCAACTTTTCTTCATTTTTAATCTCAATTATTTCGGTTGTTTTTTGTTTTCCGAGTGGGAATGATACATTTTCGGATAGGTAATTATGAGTACTTTATGAATAACTCCAAGGATATCGACTTAAACAGTTAGCCGACAGGCTTCCCATCGCGCTCCATGCCGACAATCCAAGTAGCCAGATCTTCTTCGTACTGCCGCGGTAGGATAGGTGCTCGACCGAAAGATCTTGGTATTTGGATGACGCCAGGGTCAGCTTTTGCCAAATGCTTCCGAAGCGTCCGCGATGGAATGCCATAGCCTCGGCAGCAGTTGATGCCGTGTGTACTTTGCTTAACACATCGTGGACGGCCTTGTCCATGGTGACCTGCGTGTATGGCGTTCTTGGCGACATTTCGTCGGATTAAAATCTGAAAGAACCTTTAATATGTAATATTTTTCCCTCCATTTATTCATGCAGGTTAAATTTGTCGAGAGGTTGCCTTTTGTCCAATTAGAGCTGATTGGCGTTTTAATTGGATGAAATAAGTTGGCCCATCAATGGTCGTTCGGCCCATCAATGGTCGGACACGTTAGGCTGAAAACAGTTCCGAGCCACTTGATTTTATCCAGTTATCTGTGAAAAATTGCATCTGATTGGCTGAAAATTTCAGAGTGATTGTTTTCTACCAATCATACATCGTGTCACGGAACCAAGTTGGCACGGAACTGTGCCCATATGTATATATTAGACAGATTTCGCAAACGCCAGTTCTATTATATCCGCAACCTAAAAGTTAGAACCCGGATAGGTTGCAACCTTATGCAGTGCGAATTTCGCAAATCGTCCGCTGCAAATTGGTTTTATCCATAAAACGTTATCCAATCAAACCTGGCTATTATTCTTGGCCATCATCACTCAATAATGATGCTGGCTGGAGTCCCTCGGTAAATGACACTTCCAACGCATACAAAGGCTAGGACCAAAACCCGAGTCACACTGTCCTTCTTCGGATTCCCCGACAACAGAGCATCACCTGTGCTCCCTTGTAGCTAAAAACCCGGGGAAGCCGCCACGACGGTCTCGCCACCCACGGAAGAAAGTGTCATTTTCGGGCTTGGCGTCTTGCAGTTTCCCTGACTTAGCAGTTCAGGTGCAGATTCCCTTGAAGGACCTCGAGGCTACGCGATTACCTGCAACGATTTGGAGGGTACGACGCCGAGCTCTGCCCGTACGGAAAAACTTCCTGAGTCTCGATCTCGAGGACGCGATTGGGGCTTCTAAAGCCCGCTGTCGCCGACTACGAGTTCAGCGAGCCAAGCTTCGTGGTCTCGAGTCCAAAACGAACAGGAACGTGGAGAATCCGTGCCTCGCAACACCGAGGATCATGATAACCAAAGACGCCGCTCAGTCATCAATTAGGCCGATACACGATTGGTCTTACAGTGACCTGAGCCCTGACGAGTACACCCGAGAAGTTCCAGGCGTTACCAAGCATACCATACGTGTCTGTCAGATGGCCTCAGATCCAGCTCAGCCTTCGACAGCACCAATGGTGGACGTTTGGGTGGGGACGCACCCAAGAATCGCATTAGTTGACACTGGAGCGACTGTGAGTGTAATCAGCACGACGGTATGGAAAGATTTGGGATGCCCCGAGCTTACCCGGCCTCGTTATGGACTGGTGTCGGCAGCAAGAGTCCGTATGCCCTCACTCGGCATTTGCCACACTGACGTTACCATAGCTGGTCATACTGTCCTATATCCACGATAGGTGCTCGAAGACGCCGTTACTGATTGCATCCTCGGCATCAACATTCTACGACGCCTCGGTGTGATGATCGATTTGCAGCACAACGTCCTTCGTTTTGTGGACTCGGACGTTGCGGTAACCTTTCAGAATGTATCCTCAACGTCGACAACTTGCCCAGTCGTCCACCTACGCAGTGAAAGCCGCTCTGACGAAATCCTTGGTGACCCCACCCGGTGGTCCGAGACACCAATAGATGACAGCCGTCGCTCCGCCCGAAGCAACCTTAGAAGTGGCAGGATATTTCAGCGCTATAGCATCAGAGTCCATTCACCTTCGCGGACGATCACGACGACTCTTACGCTTCCACGTCAAGGGCTCTCTCGCCGACGGAACGAACGTCCTCATTGAGCAATTGGACGTGGCATTATCCCCACTTCGAGTGGCACGGTCCCTGAATATCTCACGGACAGGCTCAGTCTGGGTTCAAATCCACAACCCCAGCGACTCCACGATCCAAATTATAGCGGCGGAGATCGTAGGACAGGCCACGATCTTGCCCCCAGCGTTCGAAGATCAGTCAGCAACAACGAACCGCGCCACGCCCCTGCACCTCGGCCACCTTGACTCTCCGCCGGCCAGCGCACGGGAGTGCGATTCTAATTCCATGGGGAGGGGGCCAGAATGAGGAGCAAGATGAGTCATCATCTGCAAAGAAGAAATCCAAATCGACTGGAAGGACTCCAGTCTGAATCTCCCTCAAAGGGAAGTATTTCGGAAAGTCCTGGCGAAATTCGACCTGTTCGTTACGACTTCAAAGGCCCCAGGCAGAACCGCCATCGTGAAATGTAACATCAACACGGCAAACGCGAGCCCAATCAAGTCGGCCACGTTTCGAGTGACACAGAAGGAAGGCGAGATCATGGAGGCCGAGATCAAACAGTATTTGGACCTCGGCCTGATCCGGAAATCGACCAGTCCTTGGGCCAGTCCGGTATTGATGATACGCAAGCCCGATGGATCAATCCGATTTTGCATCGACTATAGGAAACTCAATGACGTCACGGTCAAGGACTGCTACCCCATGCCTCGGGTAGACGACCTCCTCGACATCCTCGGCAATGCTAAGTACTTTTCAACGATGGATGTAGCGTCTGGCTACTGGAATGTCCGAATGGCCAACGACAGCATCGAGAAGACGGCATTCACGTGCCGTTATGACCTCTACGAAGGGCTGGTTATGCCATTCGGCCTGTGCAACGCAGTGCCACAGTTCGATCGGCTGATGGAAGGAGTGCTCCAAGAGCATATCTGGCGGACGTGCTTGGTCTACTTGGACGATGTAATCATCTTCAGTGAAGATTTCGGTTCCCACCTCGTTCGGCTACAACAAATCTTGACATGTCTTCAAGAGGCCGGTTTCAAGCTCAAGATGTCGAAATGCCAATGGGGAAAAGACAAAGTGGCGTTCCTCGGCGCACAGTTACACCAGGGGGAATTCTACCGAACCCTGAAAAGGTGAAGGCAGTCCTGAGGATCAAGCACCTCCGAAACGTGGTCCAAGTTAGGCCTTTCCTCGGTCTGGCGGGCTACTTCAGACGTTTTATCAAAGGGTATGCACTAATCTCTCGGCCCCTGGAAAGCCTCAAGGCAACAGAAGTCTTTGAATGGACCCCAGAATGTCAAGACTCCCTCGACATGCTGAAGCGCAAGTTAGCAAGCCCTCCGAATTTTGGCCTACCCCGATTTCGACCTTCCATTCACGATATTTGTGGACGCATGTACAATCGTCCTCGGAGCCGTCCTCATGGATGAACAACAGGGTCGGCACCGAGTCATCTCATATGCCAGCCAAGCACTCGATACCTCGCAGCAGAAGTGGATCTCCAAGAAAGACGGAACATCAGAGATCGAGAGTTTCGGGCTCGTGTGGGCAACCGGCAAGTTCAGGCCATACATCGACCTCGGCGATCCGATGGGATACCGAGACGAAAGAATTCATAAAACAACCGATCCCTGCAGGAGGACCGAGGGTCTGCTCGATATCATCAGGACTAGTCGCCGCGGTCACCCGAAGCCAGTCGCGACACGAAACAAGTATCGAGGTGACTAGAGCAGCCCCGGAGAAAGCCACACCATCAGGAGTAGCAGGACGCGCCACTGCCTTCAAAGGGGCCCCCGAGACCGAAGAAGTCCCAGACCCGACAGATGTCAAGAAAAAAGAAGCCCACACGAAGGAATCCGCCAGAGCAGAGGAAGTGCCGCAGGTACCGGCACTACTGCCTCCTTACCGAGACAACACGTACTCCTTGCCGGACTTGGTACTCCGAAAAGAACAAAGTCGAGACCCCTTTATCGTGGCCATGAAAGCCTACCTGGAAACCACTGGACTCCTGGCTGATAAAACTAGTGGTTCGAACGCAAGAACACTACACGCTTCGAGACAGCGTGTTGTATCGGAGGGTCATTTTGAAAATTTGAAGTGCCCCTGAGAAACCCCCAGTTGAATTTGGTCCCCGTGATTCCGATCTCAATGACCTCGGAAGTGTTGGCCCTCTGCCACGATTCTCCTCTAGCCGGACACTTTGGCCGCGAGAGAACACTGGAACGAGTCCGTCGAATCGCCTACTGGCACATATGACGGAATTACGTGGCTGAGTACTGCCGTTGCTATGTCCGGTGTGGCGCAGCCAAAGGTACCCGACCCTGGAAACAAGGGATCCTACAACGCATGCCAGTCTATGAAATCCGCTGCCCTTTCGTGGTAGTTGACGCATGAGGACCACTCCCCATAAATCAGCAAGGCAACAAGTACATCGTAGTATTCATGGACTACTTCACTCGGTGGGCCGAGGCAATCGCAGTACCTGACCTCAATACTTCGACCTTTTTGACCGTACTCATCGATGAAGTGTTGTGC